TGTGCTCCCTCTCACACCCCATTTACAATTATCAGCATGGCATGGCAGCTCAACCTCAGAAATACATCCCAAATCTGTCTGCTTCTCCACTACTTCCACTCTAAGTCACCATCAACTCCTGATTCGTAGGTTGATGCTCAACCACTGAGCCATGCCAGCCAGGCAGTCACCATCACCTTTTACCTGAACTACTCAACAGTCTCCTAACTGGGCCTGCTGCTTCCGCTCCTGCTTCTCTAGAATCCATTTTCCGCCAGAGGCCAGTATCATATTCTAAAAAGTCTATCAACTGTTATTTCTTGCTTTCAACTTCAAAAGGGCTTCCCATGAAAACCATCACAATGGCATATAAGGCCCTGCTTATCCCTCTAACCATAGTTTCTGCTGTCCCAGTAGCCTCTACATCTTGCTCACTGCCCTCCAGCCACACTGGCCTTTGTTTTTCTCCTAGCTCATGCCAGCATGTTCCTGTCTCAGGTTTTTGTATCCACAGTTCCCTGACTGAAATGCTCTTTCCTCTGATATTCACATTGCTAGCTTCCTCCTTTCAGATGTCATTCATTCAAATGCCATTTGTCTTCCTGGCATTCTCTATCCTCCATCTTCCTTCCTGGCACCTATTGCCTGACATTGTTATATATTTACTAGAGGTCCAGTGCACGAATTCGTGCACAGGTGGGGGGGGGGTCCCCTCAGCCTGGCCGGTAATCTGGGTCCATTGGGGCTGGCCGGCCAGGGGTAAGGACTGCAGGAGGTTGGCTGGCCGGCCCCAGGAGGTTGGCTGTGGGAGCACACTGACCACCAGAGGGCAGCTCCTGCATTGAGCGTCTGCATCATAGTGAATGGTCAAGCAGTCATTTGGTCGACAGGTTGTAACAGTTGCTTAGGCTTATATATAGAGAGATTTGTTGATTTATCTGATGTCCATCTCTTCCACAGTACATAAGCTCCTCACCTGTCTTAGTCACCACTGCATTTGCAGGCCCTCACAGTGCTCAGTACATAGAAGACACGTCGAAGTGAATATTTCTGAAAGCAATAAACAACCTCTGACCTGACCACCTAGCTCATGCTTTTTCTATTACATCATGCTGTTCCGCAAGAAAAAAGACAAATGTGTGTACAGCTTGTCATTTATCCCCTAACAAATTAAAAGGCCAATGTCTTATATCTACCTTAAGCCTACCAGACCCAGCATGTAGTAAATGCTAGGTAAATATGATGAAATGAAAGAGTGAAAAGCAACCATAAAAAGAGATAAGTCAGGGAGAGAAACCAAGATGGCGGCATAGGAAAACACCTGAAATTGCTGCCTTGCACAACCACTTCAAAACTACAACTAAAAGACAAAATGCAAAATTGACATCATCCAGAACCACAGGAAGGCTGGCTGAGTGGAAATTCTACAACTAGAAGGAAAAAGAAAAGCACCCTGAGACTCAGAGGAGGTACAGAAGTAAAGTAGAGGTACAGAGGTGTGTGCAGAAAGGGCTGGCAACTGAGGATGTGGTTGTCTTTTTCAATCAGGAGGGAGACACAAGCTCCCTACTGCTCTGAACTCCAGTTCTGGGCGAGTCTCTGGGGACCCAGACTCATATGGGGAGAAACTGGACTGTTTGGCATCAGGCGGAACTCGAGGGCGCTTTCTCTCAGAGGTGCTTGCAGCGATTACCGTGGCACACTGAGACCTGGGGCCTCTTAGGGTAGGACTGAGGATCTGCCATAGCTGTTTGCTCCACCCTGTTGATTCCCTGAAACCCCGCCCCACCCAAGCTGTGCTCAGAGGCTTTTGCATATGAATGGCCTGGCCCTTTGAGATCTAAAATTACCTAACAAACTGCAGCTGGGTCAGAGAGACCCAGAACATCCAAAAGAAGGTCCAAGGCTCCACAGCAGCTTGCACTGCTTCACAGCTGGGCTGCTGCTGGGTAGCCTCAGGCAGAGGCTAAATTAGCACCTCCTTAGAGATCCAAGAGCCAGTGTACCCAGTGTTCAGAGTGGGACCATCCAGATTACAACTCCTCAGGTCAATAAGGGACACACTCAGGGGGCAGACTCAGTGACCATCAAAACCCCACTGAAACAAGTCTTGCCCCATAAGGTTGTCTCCAGCACAGAAATTCTCCCACCGTAGACACAGCTGATTCTCACAGACAATTGGCCTGGAGGTCAATTCCTCCCAGTAATATCAACTACAATCAAGGCTTAACTACAATAAGACTGTGCACTAAGCCCACAAAGGGGTGCACCAAGAGTGTCCACCTCAGGTAATTGGGGAGGCTGAG